CTCCACAAGCAAATATCATTAGTTAGGTTCAGTCTTATTTACATAATTGTGTTCATTAATTCCATTCGTTTGTTTCATTTTACGCCTTTTCCCAACAGTATTTCAGTCATATAGGCGGGTTTCCTAACCATCGTTCCTGGAGAGTTACACAAGTCAGGGCTGGGAATCAAAACTGCGTCGTATCCTACAAATTGTAAACAAACGCCGCCATCTTGGAACGAAAAACGTATGTTTTTGTTTATAACTCTTTTTGTTGGAAATGACTGAAAACCAGATATATGTATTAACACGCTACACTATTTTCCGCTTCGTTCGGTATATGTTGCTTGCACAACTATTTTGTAAAACAAAAGTTATAGCGAACTTGCAACTCGAAGCGGGGCAGATTTTTTATGAAACTGTGTGGATACGACGCAGTTCATATTGCTTTATCTATCGTTTTTTCCTTCTAATCAATTATATATTTGTTTCCGAGTTCACCATAAACTTTGAAATATAATTTTGAATCATTTACTAATCTTTCATTAAAAAGAGATGTTTATTTTCTAAGAAAATAATGATTTTTACGAAATGATACGACGCAGTTGAAAATGAAATATGATACAACGCAGTTGTATTTTTGGCAGTCTTTTCAACAGGGATAATTTTGGCAATTTATTTCTATTTTATGGAATAATCACTTGCGCTAGATAAAAAAACAAGATCATTTGCGGTGTATAGCAATGCTTTGTTGCTTTTGATTATTAAGAATACATTGTGTCATGTCCAGTATAACATATAATTTGAAAGTTTACATTACGGAAGCTTCTTTTCAGTTAAACATGAACATGTTACCTAATTAATCATAATATCTGAAATAATTTCTTATATTTTCCTGTATGTTCAATGTTATCCCTAATTCTTTTCGCAAAAAAATGTAGAAATCTATGAACTTGAATTCATTTTGGCTAGCTACGCTCTAAGTTAACTGTGGTTCTGCATGTTCTGGGTAATGCCTCCTTTTTGTCGTTCCTTTCAAACTTTCACTCTACACATTAGCTTCACTACGGGCGAGGACCTCAGGTGCGCCTTTGTGCATTATTTCAGGCAAACCATCGACATTTTGAAACTAGCTTGATAGGTTTTCCACATGAAAGAATAAAAAGTCCCTGGTGGTTTTCGAATTCATAGCAGTTCAGTTCAAGTGATTTGAATTCAGTAAACATAACCAGCTCGGCCTCGGTCGGACACACCTGTCTGATTTGTTTTTTCAACAAAATTTGTTAACGTCTGACAGCTGTACAAATAAGTAGCTTTTTTATTAACTTCTGGCGTGAAGTTTTAAGATTATAAATATTTGAATTAATTATAAAAAGAATAACATTTAAATTTCTTATTTCGGTATGACTAACAGAGAAATTTTCAATGTAAACAGGAGGATATCCTCTGTGAAGTCATTTTCTGAAAACTTTTGTTTAAGTTTTCAGGCAATTCATTATCAAATAAAAATCACACTTTAGTATGAAGGTATGTTAAGATGTCATGTCTCTAGTCTGTTGAAAATTCGGTGTAATAATCTGACCTAAATTTTCTGTTCAAAATTGTGAAAACTTCTTCACTACTGTTGAAAGATCATGTCTGTCTATATCTGTGTGCACAGCGTAAAAACACCTTTGCAAAACGGACACCTTCTTGACAAAATAATTTGTAGTTGTATCATATGTAACTCGATTTTGAAAATTTAAAGTTTTTTGATGGAGAAGAATGATACTTAAGTGCAAATATAAAAAATACATTCCGTAGACCTAAACCCAACGGCGATAAAGAAATGCAATACGACAAAATCAGCGGTAAAGTTCTCGGCGCTGAACATAAAATGACTACAATGTAATAGGAACTAATAACCTACTTACAAAAAATAAATTGTAGCTTAACCATTTATAAAATAATTTTAAAAATTCAGTGTTCAGTTTCAAATAATAAATCTCATCTGTCCTCACCGATTATTAAGAAAATGAATACAATAAAATCGGCACGTAAAAGACATAAGTAATAATGGCATTGACGGAAATTATTGCTAATTACAAGTAACAAAAGTAGGCATGCAATTTGCGCATAGCTCTCTCCCGATAGCGAGAGACCTTTTCAAAATTTGTAATTCTTTCTCTTTTTTAAAAAAAAAATCATTCCTGATTAATACAGGGTCCAGGAGAGGTTACACTAGAATATTGAATTTTGTATCAAAAATATTAATCACTCCCATTTCGAACTCATGGGAAAAAGTTTATAAGCATGCTAATGCAACACTAGAACACGTGTCACATGGGTGTGCGATCACGTGTTTCAATGTATATTGCATTTGATACAGCTTTTCGGAATTTGTAGATGCTTATGATAGGTAATAAAATGCGACCGAAAAATGCAGCCTTAATAGAATTGTATTACATTTCCATTTTTATGAAACCAATGAGTGACCTCTGCTTTTGACTTAAGTCGTAAACAAGAAATGTTGTTGGACGTTATAAGCATACCTAGCACATAATTTAAATAGTTTAACCAATATGCAGCCTGCAATGAAAATACAACTGCGTCGTATCATATTTTAATTTCAACTGCGTCGTATCATTTCGTAAAAATCATTATTTTCTTGAAAAATAAACATCTCTTCTTAATGAAAGTTTAGTAAATGATCCAAAATTATGTTTTGAAGTTTATGGTGAACTCTGAAAACGAGTATATAATTGATTTGAAGGAAAAACGATAGATAAAGCAATATGAACTGCGTCGTATCCACACATTTTCATAAAAATTTTGCCCCGCTTCGAGTTGCAAGTTCGCTATAACTTTTGTTTTACAAAATAGTTGTGCAAGCAACATATACCGAACGAAGCGGAAAATAGTGTAGCGTGTTAATACATATATCTGGTTTTCAGTCATTTCCAACAAAAAGAGTTATAAACAAAAACATACATTTTTCGCTCCAAGATGGCGGCGTTTGTTTACATTTTGTAGGATACGACGCAGTTTTGATTCCCAGCCCTGACAAGTACTAGATTACCTTCCTCCGCGCTAAACTACCAAAGCTTCTCCCGGGGATCGAGCCCACGCCAGAGAGGTAACTGGATTAGAAGTCATCGACTCTAACCCCTCGACCACGGAGGCCGTTTGAATTCCATTCCACTACTGAAACAGTGATTTCCGGCACGAGCTTGCTACACATCATTTATATTTTTTTTTTACAAAAACAAAAATTATTTTAACATCAAAACCAAATATTAAAAACATTTTGTAAAACGCATTCAGTCGAATCAACCACTACATCCCAAAAAGATAATAAATAAGGATACAGCAATTGAAAATTTTATGTTCAGAATTTTATTATCAAAATGTTAACAATCAAAAATCATGCAAACTTTATGCTAAAGCTCATGCTAAAGCTCAAGCCTTTTCAGAAACAACATTTATGTTTGATTTGAATTATATACATTTTTTTTAAATAATACACCATACATTACATTACACAACATGATATGAAATCTAAAAAATCATAAGCTTGGCACTTTTAGCACAAAAATAATAAATGTATAACTGGTCAGTTGTAAAAAATAATGTTTCATAGGTTGTATGTATTTTAACAAGTGCAAATTGGACGGAATATTCACAATGCTTATCAATTGTTCACAGCAGTTTTATATGTAATCTGGACGTTCGCACCATTGCATCACAAAAAAACACCAACAAACTAGGAAGCACGAACATATGAATTTTTTTTAAAAAGTAAAAAGAAAATAGCTTGCAAACAATGTTTCCAAAATATAAAAACCAGTATCACAAAAAGTTAATACAAATTTTATAAATACAAAAATGTCATGAATATTCAAAGCAGCTTACTTCATCAATAGGAAAAATATAGTGAAGAACAGGAAAGTGTTTGTATCAAAGACAAACAATGAGTTTGATAATGAAAAAAAGCTAAAATAATTAATGTTTAAAGAAGTTGTTCATCAGAAGCTAACTCTTATACTGCTTAATATATGAAATGGATTTGCCCTGCTTGAAATTTCAAGCAGTCTTAATTTCAGCATTATGCCCAACCAAGTTTACCTAGTCAGAGAATAGGTAATATAAAAATATCTTGACATTTTGTCATTATAAGCAACGTAATGTACAGGAAGGAGGACAGTTCTTCAACTTTTAGGTAAAGTAAATCATTACAAAATTTATAAAGTCAAACGGAAAACAGGTAAAAAAGGCACCTTAAATAGAAGTTGTTTTTCTTTGACAAATCATCAATATCAATATGGTTTAATCTAATTTCAATGTTTACAAAATGGATATTTTCTTAATAGCTATAAGATATAATTATCATGTCAATGTTATGCAAGCATTGCTAACATTTCTTTTTGTATTGAAAACTTTAAAATAACATACTTTTGCATCTTAAACAGTTAAACCTCGGCCGAGTATCTTTTTAAAAAAGATACTTCTTGTTAAATATATTACTTAATCAACGCAGCTGGACAGCGAAAATAAGGGCATAATGTCACTTTAAGGGAGTTCAGTATTAAAATGAACTACTAACAGTGCAGACTCTGGTCTGACAGAACAGTTGACCAAGGCTATAATCAGCAAGTTAAGTTGATAAACAGAACGGCTGGAAGCTTTAAAACAACCTAATGCCAAGTTGAGAACAGTTTATCTTCTATGCTAAAATCTACACCTTTTTTAACATACAGAAACAGAAAAATTCTCATTTCCAACAACATTTATATGCGAAAAAATAAAAAGAATGGACGGCAATTTCTTAATAATCACATCAATGTTTAACACTACAAAACCACTTTCTTTAAGAGTGGGTAAAACATAACTAAACATTTTATATGGTATCTAAAATGCAATAAAATTGTAAAATAATTTAGTTATCAAGAGAGTTAACTCTAACGTATGACAGTTCATTAAGTTTTTGTTATATTACTTCCCTTTAGTGCTATAAAGGTTAAACAAATCATAAATCATTAAACTTTTCTATTTAAATGAAGATTCTCTACAATAAAAACACCATCTGCTTTATTATTAAACAATTTATAATTATGGAATTATGGGGAGTCGGTATAAAGCCAACACCTAATATAATATTCATGTAAGTTTCAAAGTCACCTTTAACATTTTCAAAACCCCCATTTTCATCAAGTTTGAAACAAAAAAAAGAAACATTAAAGAACATTTAAACACCCTGTAGGCTATCACTTAAAATTAATATTAGCCAGATATCTTAAATACGTATGATAAATTTTAATTTGTTCGCTAACTATACTTTGGAAGATATTTTTAGTCGCAAGAGTAAAATAAAAGCTTAAAGAGCAAACACTAAAGATGATAATTCACAAAAAGATTAACTGATTGTCGTCGTCGAAGAAGTCGTAAATCAAAATTGTTTGAAGTTTTCCTGGTCCCTTTTGTATCTTTCAAGTGATTTACTTATACAATAAGTCAGTTACTTTCATAAACCGAAATTCCAAATGGAATTTAAGTTTAAATAAACGCGTAGTTTTTTTTGTAGAAAATCCCTGACCAGCTGTTTTCAATTTTTTTTTTTACAAAATATACAAAATTTACGTAGAAGTGGTGAAAATAGCAAAGAAGAATGACGTCATCAACTGTCGTAACTTCCAAGCACCAAAAACAACTGTCTGTAAGTGTGTAGCTATCATTATTCAACTCCAACCCGCATAGCGTCCTCAACAGCTTTCAGCGTTAAACAGGACGATATAGTAGCCAAAGCCTGAAGGAGAAATAAATAATTAAAATATTTTATGGAACGCCTGGACTGTCTTATGTGTAGAATGACTGATATACATGGTTAAATGTGATTCTGTTGAGTCCGAGATACAATATGCTGGGTCAAAATCCCAATATACTGGGTGGAAATCCAAATGCGCTCAGTTATTGAAGTGTAATGTTGTGTGCTGACTGTATTTTATTCAGTCAAGTCAATGTATTGTCGGGTGCATAAGTCGTTATGTTCAGTTCTTAAAACAAACAGGCATGTGGTAACACAATTATGTTGAGTTAAAAAGATATGTTGTAGGGTATGACAGTTGTTATGTTCGGTTGAAATAGCTCTTCTCATCATGTTCAACCATGAAAATAAACTGTTAAGTGGTACTATCATTTAGTTTGGCTGAGGCAGTGTATTATTGGGTGATCCTTTTATCATTTTCAGTTGAAATGACATGCTGTTGGGTGCTTTATTCAGACTGTTCAGTCGTAAAATAGAACTGTTGAATAGTACTATCATTATGTTCAGTTCAGATGATGTACTGTTCGGTGCAGAGGTCATTCTGTTAAGTAGTGAACACAAAATGTTGTGTGATACCGTTATTATGTTCAGTTCAGATGATATACTGTTCGGTGCAGAAGTCATTATGTTCAGTTCAGATGATGTACTGTTCGGTGCAGAGGTCATTATGTTCAGTTCAGATGATATACTGTTCGGTGCAGAAGTCATTATGTTCAGTTCAGATGATATACTGTTCGGTGCAGAAGTCATTATGTTCAGTTCAGATAATATACTGTTCGGTGCAGAAGTCATTATGTTCAGTAGTGAACACAAAATGTTGTGTGATACCGTTATTATGTTCAGTTCAGATGATATACTGTTCGGTGCAGAAGTCATTATGTTCAGTTCAGATAATATACTGTTCGGTGCAGAAGTCATTATGTTCAGTAGTGAACACAAACTGTTGTGTGATACCGTCATTATGTTCAGTTCAGATGATATCCTGTTTGGTGCAGAGGTCATTATGTTCAGTAGTGAACACAAACTGTGGTGTGATACCGTCATTATGTTCAGTTCAGATGATATTCTGTTCGGTGCAGAAGTCATTATGGTCAGTAGTGAACACAAACTGTGGTGTGATACCGTCATTATGTTCAGTTCAGATGATATTCTGTTCGGTGCAGAAGTCATTATGGTCAGTAGTGAACACAAACTGTGGTGTGATACCGTCATTATGTTCTGTTCAGATGATATCCTGTTTGGTGCAGAGGTCATTATGTTCAGTAGTGAACACAAACTGTGGTGTGATACCGTCATTATGTTCAGTTCAGATGATATTCTGTTCGGTGCAGAAGTCATTATGTTCAGTAGTGAACACAAACTGTGGTGTGATACCGTCATTATGTTCAGTTCAGATGATATCCTGTTTGGTGCAGAGGTCATTATGTTCAGTAGTGAACACAAACTGTGGTGTGATACCGTCATTATGTTCAGTTCAGATGATATTCTGTTCGGTGCAGAAGTCATTATGGTCAGTAGTGAACACAAACTGTGGTGTGATACCGTCATTATGTTCTGTTCAGATGATATTCTGTTCGGTGCAGAAGTCATTATGGTCAGTAGTGAACACAAACTGTGGTGTGATACCGTCATTATGTTCTGTTCAGATGATATCCTGTTTGGTGCAGAGGTCATTATGTTCAGTAGTGAACACAAACTGTGGTGTGATACCGTCATTATGTTCAGTTCAGATGATATTCTGTTCGGTGCTGAAGTCATTATGTTCAGTAGTGAACACAAACTGTGGTGTGATACCGTCATTATGTTCAGTTCAGATGATATACTGTTCGGTGCACAAGTCATTTGACAATGCGCTGAGTGGTCATACAATAATGTTGGGTTCATTCGGATTTCTTCGCGTCAAACAAGATGGCGGGCGGGAGCAACTAATTTCCATAGGTCACGTCGAGGCTAATGACCACTAAATTGCCAAAACAATTACCTATTTGAGTCACACATGGCCACAGTATAAAGAACGTTGAATATAAGTATGGAACCCCCATTTGAGACACACATGACCACAGTAAATGGAACATTATATATAAGTAAGTGTGGCCTAATAAAGTCAAACATGGCCAAAGTATAAAGAAAATTCTTTATAAGTAAGTGAAACCTAATTGAGTCACATATGGCCACAATATAATATACATAATGTTTAAGTCAGGGAAATGTATTTGAGTCTAATTTTATTAGGCTACCCTTACTTATATATAATGTTCCATATACTTTAGTTATGCGTGACTCAAAAAGGTTTCCCTAACTTAAACATAATGTTCCATATATTTTGGCCTAGTGTGACTCAATTAGGCTTCCCTTACTTATATAGAATGTTCTTCATAATGTGGGTATGTGTGACTTTATTGCGCTACCTTTACTTATATCTAATGTTCCATATACTGTGGCCATGTGTGACTCAAATAGGTTTCCCTTACTTAAATATTATGTTCCATTTATTGTGGTTATGTGTGACTCAAATGGGTTACCAACAAATACATTTTAAGTCGTATATGCTGTGGCCATATGTGACTTTAATAGGCTACCCTTACTTATATGCTCCATATACTGTGGCCATGTGTGACTCAAATAGGGTTCCCTTAATTGAATATGATGTTTTATATTTTAAATTTCGTTTGCTGCGTCCATTTGTGACTCTTATAGGTTACCAAACAGATAAATTTCAAGTTTTATTTACGGTGGTCACGTGTGACTTTAACAGGCTACCCTTACCTATATTTTAAGTTTTATATATACTGTACCCATTATGACTGTAACAGTATAGTATAGTCATGAATTAACTAATAAATACCCATAGGGTATTTAAAAGTCCAATTTATGAAAATAACGTTCTTAAGCCCCCCGATAATATTTATAGGGAAGAAAATTGTTTTGGCAATTTAGTGGTCATTAGCCTCGACGTGACCTCTCCCATCTTGTTGCCCGAAAATATCCGAATGAACCCAACATAATGGTTGTATCACACAACAGTTTGTGTTCACTATTGAACATAGTGACCTCTGCACCGAACAGTATATCATCTGAACTGAACATAATTATAGTACCAAAAAACCACTGAACATAACGACCTTTGCACCGAACAACACATTGACTTGACTGAAGAAGATATAATCAGCACACAAGATAATGATAGTACCATTTAAGATAATGATTGTACCATTTAACAGTTCTATTTCACGACTGAACAGAAGGAATAAAGCACCCAACAGCATGTCATTGCAACTGAAAATAATAAAAGTATCACCCAATAATACACTGCCTCAGCCAAACAAAATGATAGTACCACTCAACTGTTTATTTTCATGGTTGAACATGATGAGAAGAGCACCAAACAGCATATTATTATAACCGAACATAATAACTGTAACACCCTACAACATATCTTTTTAACTCAACATAATTGTGTTACCACATGCCTGTTTGTTTTAAGAACTGAACATAACGACTTATGCACCCGACAATACATTGACTTGACTGAATAAAATACAGTCAGCACACAACATAGCACTTCAATAACTGAGCACATTAGGATTTCCACCCAGCATTTTGTATCTCGGACTCAACAGAAAGACATTTAACTAGGTATATCATTCAATCTTAACATAAGACAGTCCAGGCGTTCCATAATATTTAGCTGTTAACAAGATCCAGTTGCAAAACTGACTTAACGTTTAAAGCATTGCCCCTATAAATTAAACATCATAAAACAAAACAACTGTAGAAGTAGAACACTTCATTTAAAACGAACTTAGAAATGCATAATACGTTCTTAGATCGAGAATTGAAAATGCATAAAGGTACACAACATGAATGTCTACATGCATTTTATTTGCTTGTTTTGATAGGAAAGTGAATTATATTATATAAAAATATGTCGATGCGGATGCTTTATTTTATGATTTTGATGATTGATTTGTGCAATTTTCAACAGATTTATGAAAGAAAAAACCGTTCTAGTTTTCTGATCAACCATAATTTTATTTTATATAAATACTAATTCTGCTGTTCCTTATTTAGATTTGAATAAGGAATCAGGAACTAGTTCCCTATTCCTTATTCGAAAAAGGAATAAGGAACTGATTCCTTATTCCTTATTTGAAAAAGGAATAAGGAATAGGGAACTGACATTATATACATAATTATATTTAGTTATTATATTGGAATACGAAAGAAAAACATATTTAGTTATTTTACACTGGAATACGAAAAAAAAACATATCATTAATGAATACACCCCCGCCAAAAAATTGGAGAAAGAAAGCAGAAAAAACTACACAAGAAAATATTTCTTAAAATAAGCACGGGGTTTACGTCAGTTTAACAAACATACCTGTATAAAGCCAATGCCACCGACCATGGAAGCCCAAATTGGAATGTTGTTTTTCACCCAAACTTCCATTGCGTCTTTGCAAAATGTCTTAAATACAAAGAAACAATCGATAGTCATTTTATATCATTACATTTACAATATTATTCTTAAGTAAAATTGTAAGTATTTTGATGTATGTATATGTGGTCGTCGGTAAGCATTTTACAAGATTGAATTGGTCAAGAGCGGCGCCAAAAAAATAATCTCAAACAGTAGAACTTCTGGGCAAGCGACTTAAATTAGTTTAGTAAATCGACTGTTTATGAAAATAATCAAAAACACTAAATTGATAAGTGTTTAAGATAGATTGGACGAGCGGCTGCGCTGCTCTTGACAAATTTGATTTTGTTGATGCAAACTAATAAACACTTACCAATACATAACAATCCAACCATAATAAAATGAAATTGAAAGTTTTAAATGAGTCCGAATCACAACAATAATTTAACGGATGTTTCGTGACACACAAAAAATTAAGTTTGACAGATTTATCGCATCGATTCTAAATTTTTACGGAGAAATGTAAACATATATTAAAGAGAATCTATACTTACCTTAAATTGCTCGCCCTGGTCATTTGAACAGCTGTCCGGAAGTGGTAGAGTGTACTCGCTCGTGCCGTTATAACTGCAGCATTCCAGCTGAAATATGATCAAAAAACGTGTAACATGACACTAAAAGATTTTAGGGCACCTGCTAGAAATACACGTATCACATCAAAACCCCCATGGGAAATCTTCAAATAATCACAGAATGAAAAGATGAAATAAAATATATAAAAAACGTAATTTAATGCGAACAGAAAATGCACAGGGACACATTAAAAACATAAAATACGTACAGTATATCATATAAAGCGCGTGAGACATACTAAAGTCACGTAAGAAATACATAAAACCGTAATACACGGATAAGTATTGCAAGAAACATTGAATATACGACATATGCCGATAATTTAATGTATTTTCCAGAAAGTTTCAATTTATGACATTTTTGCAGCTTTTTACAACGGATAATGAAATTCATATCACAGGAAAGTCTAAAACAATGAATTTTTCCGCGTTTTAACGCGATCCATTCAATATTACATATACAATTTATTTCCTTTCAACATTATATACAAGAAATAGAGCTACATGTATAGCTAATATTAAACATTTCTATAAAATCTACAAACCGTAAAAATATGATGTTTCCATAATCTTACGGTGAATTTTCAAAAGAGTTGTAACATAGAATGTCTTTCTTATGTAACATACATGAATATTGTACGTCATCAGAATAAAATAATTCGAGACAAAATATTACCCTGCTATTTAATAGGATTTAACCGTTTAGCAATGATTTCCTCTATGTGCCCATTGACTCTTATATCCAAACATTACTTTCATACAAATATTTTTGTGAAGAACATACATCAGAGAGATGGCTTGATATACTGGAAACAATTTGAACTTAAGCTAATTAAATACACAAACTATAATCACATATTATTCAAACTAGTCAATATGACTGTTAAGTGGCCGAAGTATTTCTTCTGCAATTTGCAATGAGACAAGAAAAGGATAAAACTAAATACACAAAAGTTTTACCTCTTTTTGTATGTGGAATTTTGTATCATCATTCAATTCGTCCCACAACTTTTCTGTTAGATTAAGAACCTAAAATAAACAGGAAAAAATGCAGATTACTTTTAAAAACAAAGTAAAAGAAATAGCATTTTTATCAAGCAAACTGTAGAATATGAATAGTATGCACAAATAATCAGTAGCGTCCACTATTTCATATTTGTTATTCGTATGCGAGCGTCAATATTACACATTGTCAGCTAAACGCTTTGCAAATGATATAAGATACGGAATGTGTCGGACGTCCACCGAAATTATAAGAACTGTTGATGGATGTAATACTAGTTTCCGAATTTTACTGTACATGTATATTTACCCCCTTGAAAAAAGTGGCAGCTATGTTGGGGTCCATATTCCATAATGATTTAAAATTTACAAAAAAGAAAAAAATATAAAAAGTGATTTA